CACTCTCTATTGTAATGTTGAAGCTCAGGGTGAAGACATCAATGTGACTTGGTATAAAGTTGGAGGTGGTCAAGTATCCAGTAGAGGTGTATATACCATACCATCTGTTACACATGCTGATTCAGGTTCATACGAATGCAGAGCTAAAACTGGTAACGAGTGTGAAGTGAAAAGCACCATGATAACACTCACTGTGATTTGTAAGTATGTAAGTAAATGGTCGCCCACGGAGCCAAGACCATCCCCCGCCTCCTTTTCAATATCTTTAGATGATTTCCACTGATTGTCCTCTCATCTGATCCTCTTATCTTATCTGTCTTCTTATCTCCTCTTATCAGTTATAGATCGATGATGCCCTAAAATGTTTAAAACTTTACAATGAAACAATATAGGAATCTTAAAACAACTGATCCTCGTGACTGAACATGATTGATAACTAGGCATTGACAATTGCCTTTATATACATCAGCCAAAGCTACGAATGTAAGTCACGTTGTCAATTCGCGATGATTGAAGAAATACTTCGTGTTTTAAAAGGCAGTTTTATGACTGAAAAAAGAGCAACGCATCAAGAAACTTTCATCCAATTCATCATCATAGTCAGTAGCCAGCCAATGTTATTACCTTGAATTAAGTGATTTGTAGTCATCGGCAGTCGATTTACTCATATACGTTTTCCATCTTAGCACCTCCAATCATCAGCAACATCATAGTAACAGAAGACAGTCTAACAGTTTCCTGGAATAACCTGGTTTTACCTCATAACACGATAGCAACATGCTTGATATATGTGATGCAATCATTCCATGGTGTCAACTGGATAACGTCTTCAAACACCAGCAATGAAGATTCAATAACATGTTCAATTGCCGAATTGAAATCATCTACCTTGTATCGTATTCAGTATTTCTTACAAATCCACAAGAACTATGTAAATGGTACTATTTACATAGGAACTTCTGCTAAAGGTACGTGCGGCTAACTATGATTGAGGTAATCTTTTTGTGGTATTTTACTATGATGGTGGTTCTCAGAATGACTGCCTCATTCCACTCAGCCCATCATCAATACAAATATACAAATTTAAATAAATCTCAAAATTTTCTTTTTTTAAGTCAATAGAACAGGAGCAAGTTCAAACCATTCAACATATGATACTGGAAAAGCTGGGAACATTTCATRTGGGGTGTCATCCACCATTTTTGCAGCTGTCATTGCTGTTGCTATTGTAGTTATTGTTCTTCTCATATTGGTTATCGTATGGATGCGATTTCAAGGTTTGTTTGATGGTTGTTCATGAACTAAAATTTAGCATTGTTTTTGATAAATCAAAGAAAGAAGGAAAGAATGCGCAACAAGCAATAAAACAAAAAGACTAAAATTCAACAACCTTTATTTTTGATTTCTTATATTCTGCTTTTTTGAATTCAGTCAATTTTCTCTTTTTCAATATTTAGGCATACAAAACGACAAMAGGTACGTACAAATATTCAATTTATTCAGCAATAAAGAAAAATAGCATATACAATAATTGATGAGTCCCAAGCCACAGGCTTATGGGAAACGGGAATTAAAAACGAACACTGACGAACGAACAAACACGCTTTGATGTAAAATTCTAAGTGAATAATTTTTTATTATTTTGAACTATATATAACATTTTTATTTTCAATATTTTATTATTTCAGAGTCAAAAGACAAGAAAAAAACCAGGTAGGGTGATTCAGTTTATGGAATCATTTTGGAAACGCAGAATACTGACCCCTGCCGTTTGGATAAAACGATATTGACGATAGAGTGACAAATCTTTATTACCTTTTCAAATATTGACTGATTCAGTGGGTCTTTAATTTTCCCTTAGCAATACGCGTTTATTTATCTCATCAACTAAGTTTTTTTAACAGATAATTAAACATTAACTGATTATGCATAACAGTGCCTTAATGTTGTTTCTTTCAGACGGAAGTTCCCGTCAGTCGATCCTCGTTTTCAACACCATCTTTTGATACTAAGACTGTTTACGAGAACGAGGGTTTTATTTCCCGTCAAACCAAACCAGATGCAGACATGGCTCTGTACGAGCAAGTACAAAACAGGGGCCGGGTAATGAATCAAGGTGTCGTTGGACCGCCTTCCTTTCCGATGGAGTATATACCAGGAAGCCGACCAGCAAGACATGAAACCGAGAACCAGGTGCAATCACAATTGAAGGAGCCTTCTTATCAGGCACTGGATCAAAGAGAAATGGCTGGTACTAAGCATGTTAATGTTAATGAAGGGTCTTATGGACATCTGTTGGGATTTACAAGGAGTCCATCTCAAGACCAAAACCATTACCAGGCTATGCAGCCTGAGAATCGGCGGTCCACACAATATCAGTCACTTCAAAACATGCATAAACCTACATTTAATGTGTAAGATTTAGAGAGATGACACAATAAGAATAATTATACCTCTTTACCTTGAATTGGGTATAATGTTTTTGCATTTCAGACCATGATGGCCACCTGTCATTTGCTATGAATTTATTAAATGCTTAATTAAAAAAGTGACACGGGGCCTGAAAAGGGAAAACATTACGCTAAAGGAAAAGAGTTCTATTGGACTTAAAATGAGAAGTAAAGGACGGCTTTTTTTTTTCTGTTTTAAAGCTTATATAGCTAATAATGTTATTCGCGCGGGATCCCTGTTTTCTTAGTGGTCCTTTTTTAAATTTTGGGCTTCCTTTGTCAAATGCCAGGTTTCTAAGCTATATTCAAGATGATGGACAAGTTATCATCGCTATAACATCTGCAAGTTTTGATTCATATTATCGACAATTTAAAGCTTATTTAAATGGAGGAAAATCCCTAATAAGTAATCTATGTTCACTTCCCAATAAGGTAAGCTTAACTAGTATGGACACATAGACTTCATGGCCACGCGAACGACAATTTTATTTAGGGCAAAGTTTGATATGTTAACTTMTTAACCGTACCAGTGTTACCATCTATATTATTGCAAGCATTCTGTATGTATGGTTGTCAAACAAGCCACTACTAATGGCCATTTATTGAACTAGCTTTATTCCTTTAGTCGGAATTAATTTCAAAATAATTCTTACAGATTTACCGATTCTTCTTTTCGTTTTTGTTTTTTTGTTTTTCTGTTTTGCTTTGTATTTCGTTTAGTAACATAATTTACATTTGATACTTTCTTAATAATTATAAGTTTATGATATAGCTAAGTTTGCTGACAACATTGTTTTACATTCATTGGACATTTATTTCACAAATATATACAGTATGACAATATAAATTTCCTTCAACTATATTAAAAAACAAACAATTAAAATAAATGTTAGTTTTTAAAAAATGCAAAAGTTATATT